GCTAAAAATCATGGTGTTAGGATTTTAATGGATCAAGTTTTAGATGCTGGGGGCGACTTCTCTGCAGTGACTGATAATGGAAAGTGTGTCTAATGGCTGAGAAGATAACAGAATTAGGAGAGATGACAGATAAAGCAGCACACACCAACAAGGGATAGGCATTTGAAATGTAAGGGCCATGTACTTATAATTGAATTGGCCAGAATATAATAGGGAGAGAAAATAAAATAGAAAGGTATTGACCTAATTATCTTTATGGGATGTTTATTTTGTACAGTGGAGACATCAGAAGATGTAGTAATCCTATATAATAAAGAGGGAATAAGCTAATTGACCATCATACTGTCACAAAGATGGCGGCACCCACAGTCAATAAGGAGGGAATTTGCTAATTGACTGGACCACTCTCAAAGATGGTGGCACTCACAGCCAATAAGAAGGGAATATGCTAATTGCTGCCATACCCTCAAAGATGGCAGTGCCTACAGCCAATAAGGAGGGAATATGCTAATTGACTGTCATACTCTCAAAGATGATGGTGTCCAAGGCCAGCTTCAGGCACAGGCAAGCCTCAGATGGTGGCTGCCCAGCTGCTCAGGGCCAGCTAAGGCTTGCGCTGCCAGTAGTGGCAGCAGCAGAAGTGTGATGGGTTTCAGAGAAATATTACCCATTTATTACAAATTGGCTTCTATATAAATAGAATTCCATAGATATAGACTGGTGTGCAAACAGAGAATGGTATCATGGATTCTCATGTAAAAATTAAAAATAAAGAGCTTGACTGAATTATCATATGAAACATTTATTTCTAGTAGATAACTAAAAATGATTCAAAGAAATAGAGAATAATTAGAAATATAAAATGTTTTCTCACAGAGATAATTCAGTTGATTTTCCCAAAGACAATAACAATAAAATAAATCTCCAGAAGAAAGGGAAAACTGAAGGAAAAGTAAGGGTAATGACATCTCTTAAACTAAACAATAAACTTAGCACCAGAATAACTTAGCAATTAAGAACATGGATTCTGAAGTCAAATTTCCCAGATTCAAATCCCAGCTCTGGCGTGCAGTTCTTTGTGGCAAGTCCTTTACATCTTTATGCATCAATGTGAGAAAAATATTAGTAACAATCTCATTATATTGTGCTGGTAAGTAAACAGTTAACATAAAAAGTGCTTAGAACAGTGCTTGGCATATGGTAAGTCTTATCATCATTCTAGTCATCATTGCCATCATTATTAAAATTATGAATATATATATATATATATATATATATATATATATGGTGAACACAATTTTAAGAAGCATCGCAAAAGAGGCAATTGCATAGAGCCAGGAAGGAATGTTCTTTTGCATGATTATTAACTTAACTGCAGTTAGTTAACTTACTTGATGACAATACCATGCCAATTGTCTAAAATCAAAGGTTTGATTTTCCTGTGAGTCTGTTGGCTACATTCCATCTCCTCAGATTAACATACTAGCACTCTATTCAATGATTTTTATTTTATTTTAACAAGGTGACTAGTGAGAAATGTAAATTCATAAATAATTTTACCAAAAAATCAATCTGTAGTTACATTCCCATTGATCATAGTTTGGTCATATAGTCTTTACATATTATAAATTCTAGTACTGAAAAAATACTTAAAGATAATATGGATCCATATAATTAATTTTTGTAAAAAATAAATAGACTTGTTTGGCTTGTTTGGCTTGTTTGGCTCAGTTGGTTGAGCATTGCCCCATGCACCAAGAGGTTGCTGGTCCAATTCCCTATCAGGGCACATGCCTGGGTTGCAGGCTCAGTCCCCAGTAGGGGGCATGCAGGAAGCAGCTGATAGATGTTTCTCTCTCATTGATGTTTCTATATCTCTCTCCTTCTTCCTAATTCTCCCTCTAAAATCACTAAAAACATATTAAAAATAGACTTAGAGATAAAATGTGACTTCACAAAATCACTTTGAAGAAAGAGCAAGAACCCTTAGCCCATGTTTTGTTGAGTTTTGTTTCATTTTTCAAATATCCTGCATTCATTACATATAGAATGCTTTTGTTATCTTTGAGAAATTTCTATCTAAAAATATATTTCTGTAGTTATAGTTTATTATTCTAAGAACTCAGTCCCAAGGACAGAATGTGAGATTTTGTTATGATAAAAATGGGAAGCTATGTTATGGTAGTGAATGTGTAAAGTAAAGATTAACATTAACTGACTTAAATTTTTAAAAGATCACCTTGCCTTAAAAATAGATAGTGGGCAAAAACAAGGTTCGCTTAGAAAATTATTTCAATAATCTGCATGAGAGGTGCGGGTGTTTGGACCAGAATGATAGCAACAAGAGTGGCAATAAGTTGTTGAAGTCTGGATATGTTTTAATGGTAACATCAACAACATTTCCTTCTATATTGGATGTGAAATGTGAGAGGGAAAAAGCGTCATGGAGACAAGAAAATATAAATTTTCACTCAGAAAGGCCTAATTTTTTAAAAATTCAATGTCTCTTGTAATCTTCACCATGATTTACTTATCTTTACCTCATTGAAAAAACATTCATCACCATCTACACAATACACTCTTGTGAATCTGGAAGCAGCCAGAATTATGCATTGTATTGCCAAAGAAACTAAACAATGACTCCTGGCCTCAAAAGAGTTTATCATTTTGTAAACAAAACCCCCTTTAAAGAGGCAGGAGATATATTTAGACAGCATTACAAATGTAGCTCAAAATTGCAACTTGGTGTTAAGTCAAAATGCTCTAGACATGACTCTTGAAATGAGGTAAGCACGCCCACCAACAGTCCATTGGAATGAGGTACAGAGGAGCGATTAGAGTAAAATCCATCTTTACAAGAAGTGGAGAATCAAGCATTTGAAGGGAAAGCTACTTCCAGGTATGGTGAAGCGTTACCACTTGGCTTTGTCCCGTGCTCAGCTCCCTATGGACTCATATCTCTCCCAGGGAAGAAATAGAGCTGTGAACAAAGAATGAAGAAAAAGCTGTCCCCCACCACCCCCTCCACCCCCACCCCCGCACCAAATCCTCTCGGATATGAGAGTAAAAGCCAATACCACACTGAGAGACCTCATAGAATGTATCGATAGTCCAGAAAGGCACTGAGTATAGCATAACCTTGGTATCTCAAAGGCTCCATGCATTTTAGGCCGTAACCATTGGTGCAGGGAGCAGTGTCCTCAGAAACTCAGACATTTTCATTGTGCTGGTGCTTCCCCAGGATATGTCAGTACAAACCAGCAGAGGTGGGGCAGAAAACCAAGAGGAGTAAAAGAGGTAGATATCACATGTAGCTGACCTATTTATGAGCAAGCACACGTGAGATCTCAGAAATACTTGCATGAGCTCAGCTGCATTGTTAGCAGGAGAGGTTAACTACATTACCATCATTGACCAGCTTTTAAAGATAATGGTGAAATGAGCTCTTTATACTCCAATTACTCACTGCAGCATTTTGTATAATTGTATTACACAATTAAGCAGTCTGTCTACCCTAAAGCTCACGTATTTGCTACATCTGTTCAAGATCTCCAGAACCCAGGTAGATAGCCTCTTCAGGGATATTAAAGAGAATGAATACTGCAAAACAGACTATTGTTATTTTGAAAATGATAAACATGAGAATTTTTTTAAAAAACAAGCACTCTTTATAAAAGCAGTCATTTTATAAAAAACAATTTAAAAGGCTGGCTATCTGCAGGCCATCTGTCCTGGTATATATATAATAATCCTATTTTTCATAACACTTCATCCATGCTGCTCACATCCTTTCCAGTCATTAAGGAAATAATGTTCCTTCTTTCCTGCTCCTCAACTGGCTTCACACACTGCATCATGTTGAAGCTGCCAAAATAACACTTTGTGGCAGTGTAACAATTATACCCAAATTCAGTAATTTTCTTAATCTTGGTTCATATTTTGACCTTGACCCCATAATTCCTCATGCCAAAAGAGTACTTTTTGTTTGTTACTTTATTCATTTAGTTTGGTTTATGTCTTCCCTTCTTCTAAAAAAAAAAAAAAAAAAAAGTCTTTCAAGTGTCCTGTGCCTCTAGTTACAGGTGTAGTAAGATTAGTCTCCTTATTTTTGTCATCATTACCATAAGTGCAGCAATGGAGGCAAAAGGTCCAGTGAGGATGTCCACACCACTAGCACCAATTTCCTAGACAAGAGGGTCGGTGGTTGAGTGTTTCAGCAGGGGGGATGTGATTGCATGCTAGCCAGTACAAGAGAAGAGAGGAGAAAAGGAGATCTGGAACATGAGTGTGACAGAGTAGAAGATCCATAAGGCTTTCATTTAAGTAAACTCAGTAGGCTCCTTGGAAATTTTTACCATTAGAAGATGGAAAATTTAACAAGATATCTGTTAGGTTAAAATCTCTATGAAAACTACAGTGATATGGAAGTAATTCACACACAAGTACATATAATCTAGAAAGAAGAGCAGAGATCTTGGCACATATCACCTGCAATCCCAGAACTCGCATATTGAAAGCAATGATGTGAGCTATCCCATAAGTGTAAGAAATGATATTATCAAGTTCCATTTTCATTTTCACTTAGTCAACCATTTACGTTTTAAGTCATAATATATATTTCTATAATTATTATTGACCCCCATCAATTGGTACCTGTTAAGATTTCTGTGCTTATAAAGTATGAAGACGTGTGTGTGTGTGTGTGTGTGTGTGTGTGTGTGTGTGTGTGTGTTGGGGATGAGGTGAAAGGGGTGGGAAGCAAATGGGAAGAATAATTCTCTGGGGTAAAACAGTCTGGCAACAACTTTCCACCCCTTTCTGAAAAAGTCTTATCATCTTGTCATCTATAGCGCTACTCTTACCTATCAGGAAACTGACAATAGCCCCACTCTCAGTGAGAAGGAAGAGGAGGGGGAAAAGGGGAAGAGGAGGAAGAGCGGAGGAGGGGGAGGGGACGGAGAAGGGAAACAGAGAAAGAGAGAAGAGATTGAGAGATTTACCTTCCAATGAGTGAGAACTCGCCCACCACGCCCAGGCGCCGCATGGCGCTCAGGAGGCCCCGAACCGTCATGCCTTCGCAGAAGCAGACCACCACTCTCGCCTTGGGGAGCCGTTCTCGGAGCTTGCGCAGGAGTCGGTCGAAGCTCTTCTCCCCTGCATTGCTGTAGATTTTGTCTGAATGGGCGATGCAGAGGCCTTCCTGGGCAGCCAGCTCTTTGAAAGCGTCCATTCCACTCTCCCCATAATTCCCTGTCCAAAAACAATCAGCAGATGTTCAAGCAGCCGCACTCACACCGGGAGTAAGGGTTCCCTGGTCACTGGGAATGGAGAGGACAGACTGACCAAATAACTTGTCAATGTAACCGGGACTGAAGGAAGATCTGGATGGATCAAGGAGCGTGATCAAACGATCAATTCTGAAAATAATGAGAAACTATCTAACTAGGGCATCCACAGTGAAACAAGTTTTGATAAATGAAGGCCTGCTGCCCTATTTTATAATCGTGATTAATAGTGGTTGTCCCAAATTTTACCACTGTGAGAGAGATCAGCGCATTGTGGTGGGAGGTCAAATGGCACAATGAGAAGGCCTGTTCCTTTGAGGGCTTGCTTCCCATGTGGCCTGGTTAAGAGGTAGACACATGGTGACAGCAAGCTCTGCCACATTTCCATGAAGAGAGAGTAAGCAAAGCAAACGGAATACCTGGCCAGGCTAGAATAAGCAGACAATGAACCCATACAGGGCTTAGTCAAAATCCAACACCCGCTGATGAAATGATGGGGCTATGGGAGATTTGGCCTTCTGTTTTGATTTTTATGTTACTGTCTTTTCTATAGTAAACAGACTTTTAAAAACTAAGAACTCATATAAATCACTTAAATAAAACAAGTATCACATTGGGTCAGTTCCCTACCTCCCTGTCTTACTGATGACTGTAGCCCCCACCTTAGTCTCCTCTATAGCTCTACTCCCCCAGTTGATACCCAGGTAGATGATTCAATACAATGTCCTTAGTTTCTCAGCTCCCTCCATCTGTAATGATATTTCCTATAACCCACTTATTTCTACTTTTGACTTTGTTATCACAAATGTCACTGATACCTCTGAATGTGGCTGTCAAACATCCCAGTCTTTGTTTATCCCTTCTTATCTTTCAGGCTCATATATTCTAATACCCATTCTCTAGCATTCATTCTACCTCACAGAAACCTCAAATCCACTTACCTTGATATTTTTCTTTCCATTCTGCCTCTCATTTGCCTCATAGCCCAATTTAGATCTTATAGCCCATCTTCATTAGCACTCCCTTGAAATTTTTTTCACTCCCTGTGTCTCCCTGACAAAGCTCTAATGCTAGTTAAACCTAGCCATTCTCCTAGTCCATATTTACCATGCGGATTTTGTAATCTAAGAAAACACAACAATTTTAAGAGAAACATCAAAAGTGCTTTGTTCAAAGTTATGTCCATTGTTAGCTACACATTTCCCCCATCTTTCAGGTAATTTGTGGATACTGTCCCGATAAAATTTTTCTTGTTGCCTAGGTCTATGTATTTGCTTCATCATCTCTCAGTCTCTCCTTGACCTTCATTTCCATCATTTCATAATATTTTTTGTCAAACTCTCCTCCTGTCAAGATCACCAATATTTTCCCTGTTGCCATATTTTATTATCTTTTGTCTGATTTCATCTTCATGAACAACTCAGCTGCATTCAACAGCTGGCTGCACCCTCCTTGAAATACTTTTTCCTCTTGGTTTCTGAGACACAGCCCTTTCAAGGTTTCCTCACCACTTACTGACTACTCCTGAATATATTTGCTAGATAGTCCCATTCTTCTCAATCTCTAAATAATATCATACCAGTTACAGCCCTGGGAAACTTTCCCTTTTATAGTCTCATGAAGTACCCCAATTCAGTCACATTTCTTCAAACACTATTTGAATACCAGGGTTGAATCTTAAATATAGATCTTCAGGTTGGACTGCCATTTGGAGAAAAAGATTTGTACACTCAATTGCCTACCTGACATTTGTATCCACTTAAAGACACTTCAAACTTATCTGAAATAGAATTTTTCCCTCTCCACCTTGCAAACCTGCCCCTTTTAGACCCTTTTAGACATATCCTATTAGTAAATGGTGCCATTACCCAGCAATTTGTTCAATAATAAAATTTAGGAACTATTTGGACTTCTGTTCTATTGCAGATTAATTCCTGTAGGCACTATCTCTAAAATGTTCCAAAGTCAGTCTATTTTCTTTGTTTCAACTTTTGCCACATTAAACCAAGAGTCTTAAATTAGTTTCCCTAAAAAACAGAGATTAGATGAAAGTTCTTGTTCAAGTTATTTATTGAAGAGGAGAGAAGCAAGAGAATAACAGGAGGGAAATGCCAAGCAAAAAAAAAGTCATCTCAGCGAGAGACATCAAGCTTCAGCTTAATTCCACAAGAAAGTGCTAGAGCATAAATTAATAATAGTCAGTGTTGGCAAAAGACAAATGCATTCAATTTTGAAGAAAGCAGTTCAAACTTTTGGTGGACAACTTAGAATCAGTTTTCAAGATGTGTCAAGGTAAATACCATATAAATACAGCAATTGTTAAGTCAAAATAATTTTAAAAGAATATCTCTCCCCCCCCCCAAAAAAGGGACTTAGGACTTAAATATCAGTTTCTATAAAAATTTAATGGGCATTGTAATAAAACCTAATTAAGACTCTCCTACATTTGTTTAAATAAAGTGTTCTTATATCTCTTTTTTTTCATAACAGAAATTATCAATTAAATGTATTTGCCTTTTAATTCAAGCATCTTTACGTGCCCTAATCCAGTCCAGTAAAGCCCAAAAAGGTATATAAAGATTAACACATCACAAAATCCTCAACTGCTTGGATTGTGGGAATACATCAAAGTTCAAGCAAGTGGCATTGACAGATTAAAAAGGAGAAACTGCTGCTGGCAAGTGGATGCCTCATCCATCTGCAGAGAGGGGCATGGGAGGAAGCCAGATGTCTCCTTCTTACCATAACTACAGATTCAGGAATCTACAAGGTGCACAGACATCACAGCTAAGGTCACTGTCAGTTGGTCATAAGTTGGTGTTATAAAGGGAATAACTTCACAGAAAACTGTTTTGTTCCTTTACCAAAATACATGCAGGATAGATGAGCAAGAATATATCAATGCATTTAAACAAGAGAATTCCTGTTTTTAAATCTAGTGAAGACCTTGGACATAAGCAGATACAGGGGCTTTATTCAAAATCCAACAACGGAACCCTTCAGGTTATAGACAAGGAAATAGAGCAACAGAGGGGGGAAAGGCTCACGAGTATTAGAACTGAAATGCTTCTACATAACTTGACTCCTAGCTTGCTATTTGTTTCTCTTAATAGCACAAAGCAATCAAACATGTATATTTCCATAGTCCAGAAGACTGTCTGCATAGGTCAATAGGTTTTATGAAATATCAGTCCCAATTTCTTTATTAATATGTTTTTGCTCTGATAGCAATTTTTTATTACACAAATTGATAGACAGCTGAGTCACATTCATTGAACTGTATTTAAACTATTTCTCTCGCTATTCCCAAAAGACCCCAAACTGATAGATAAATTTCCATAAGAGTAGCTCTAATATAGGAAGAGCGACTGTACTTTTGTGAATCTTTACACTTTAAAAATTGCTTTCATAAACATTACCTTATTTGATTTGTTATAACACCATATTGTACTCATTATATTGATAACAGTGCTAGATGTAAAGATCATACAACATGGAAGACTGCCTCCAGGAAGCTTAAAATCAAATTACTTTCATTTAGTAGCAGCAGAACTAATGACATGACAAGGACTTGTTTAAGTGTCTAGGAATCAGAAAAAACTGCCTAAAAAAGTGCCATTTGTTGGTGAAGATGTGAAAAAAAAATGGGTGGGGGGAATCCCTGTGTACTCTTAGTAGAAATTCAAGTTGGTATATGCATTACAGGAAATAGTATAAGATTCTTCGAAAACTTAAAAACAGGATCACCATGTGATCCAGTCATCCCATTACTTGGTATTATCCAAAGGATATAAAATCAGTATCTTAAAGAGTTATCTGCATTTCCACGTTCACTGTAGTATATTTCACAATAACTAATATATGAAAACAGCCTAAGTGTCCATCAATGGATAAATGGATAAAGAAACGATGTTATTAATATGAACATGTAAACACACACAGTGGAGTTTTAGCCATTAAAAAACCCTCACCATTTGCAACATGGATGAACCCACGGGACCTTATACTAAGTGAAACAAGCCAGATAGAAAAAGATAAATACCTTATGATATTATTTATATGTGGAATCTAAAAAAGTCAAACTTATAGAGTCAGAGAGCAGAATAGTAACTACCAAGGGTTAAAGAGTGGAGAAAAAAATGGAGAGATGTTGGTCAAAGGTACAAACTTTGTTATAAGAGGAGTAAGCTCTAAGGATCCAATGTACAGTATAATGAATGTATAGTTAATGATATAATTATATGTAAAAATATACCATTACTTTCATTTAGTGATATATAATAACATAACTAATATATCATACACTTAAAATTTGCTAAAATAGCAGATCTTAAATGATCTTACCAGACAAAGAAAGCTAGCAATGAGAGGTAATGGGTTTGAGAATTAGCTTGATTGTGATAATCATTTCACAATATATATGCATATCCAAAAATGATATTATATCCCTTAAATATATAAAATGTTTCAAATATATCTCAGTAAATCTGGGGGAACAAAAGAAAAAAAGTCTTTATTCTGGGTCTTCAATTATGAACAGATTTTCCTCAGATAGAAAGAATGGTAGATACCTGTATTCTTTGTCCACTAGGTCCTGAGCAAATCATGCCAGGTTCAAAATAAAACACTCAGCACAGAGCACAGCCTCTTGTCCTCCTGGTCATCCCACTACTTGGTATATATCCAAATGATATATATCCAAAGGTTATATTCCATTCTGCCACTAAGGCTTCCTCTTGCCTTTCCTGGTGTTCAGAAATTTATTTAGATACTTCTCTGTGTAGCCTTGGAAGATATACAAAGAACTGGCTTTTAATAAAACTCTTAAAAGCTAAAAGAGTCATGGAATTGTAAATACCCATACCTGACAGAGAGCTGCATATTAACATTCAATTAGCAAATAGTTTATTGAATTCTCAACTTAAAAAAAATTCTTGGGTTCTGCACTTCAAGAGTTGCCAAGAA